TGTTGCTACTTCATAACTGTAATTTTGCTACTGTTATGAACCGTAATGTAAATATCTGATATGCAGGTTATATTTAGGCGACCCCTGTGACCCCCCAAATGGGTCACAACCCACACATTGAGAACTGCTGGTCCAGACTCTTATTTTTCTTCATCCACCATCTTCTGCTGTAAAATTTACCCTCATGGTTGCAAGATGGCTGCTGATGATACCGGATTTTTGACTTTGGATTTCCAGGCTCTTGGTCTCGACGATTCGATGAATGAATTGATGGACCACAGGATGGACAGTAAGTTAGGTTTTATTTACAGAGGTATTATTACAGCTCTTACAAAGAGCCAAACCTTGCAGAACAGGATAAGATAGGTTTTATATAAGTGTCACAGCTCTTACAAAGAGCCAAACCTCCTTGCAGGGAAGGATGTAAGTGTCACAGCTCTTACAAAGAGCCAAACCTCCTTGCAGGGCAGGATGTAAGTGTCACAGCTCTTACAAAGAGCCAAACCTCCTTACAGAGCAGGGTATAAGTGTTACAGCTCTTACAAAGACCCAAACCTCCTTGCAGAGCAGGATACAAGTGTTACAGCTCTTACAAAGAGGCAAACTTCCTCACAGAGCAGGGTATAAGTGTTACAGCTCTTCCTCTTCGGCTCTCTCTCCCTCAATGGTCTGCGATGATCTGCTGAAGTCTTGCTCTTCTGCTCTATCTTCCTTAAAGAGCTGCAATGATCTGCCCCTAGGCTCTCTGCTCAGGGGTTTATATAGGGGCAGTTGTCCAATGAGCTGAGAGCTTAGCTGATTGGTCTATAAAATAGACCAGTCAGGAGCAGGATTGAAAATGGACCAATCAGGGATGCACTGGAGGAATCGCCAGGTCTTTTTTGTTACTGGAGCCTCTGGTGGGGGAGGGAAGCTCCCCTGCTTGCTCCAGCCTGCCAGTTCCTTTGCCAGCTGTTGCTACCAAGACAGAGGTGGCAGGTCCCCCAACCCCGCTCAGCTGAGCTGGCTGGGGTGCCACTTTTCCAGTATCACTGAGGCTCAAATAACAATGTCTGCAACCCAAGCAGGAACAAAGGGAACAGGCAGAGGGAAACTGTTACAGCTGAGTCTGCCTCTATTAAAAGTCTCTTCAGAAGATGCCCTTAGGTTTTCCATTTAGAGCCCACAGCACAGAATCCTACCAAGTGGCTATCGTCACAACAAGGGAGGCTCAGTGATTGTGTCTCCTAACCAGGAACACTGCCACCAAACAAAATTTGAGCTCTGGTAAGAGAAATAGAAAGAGTGTCACAATTCCTTAGCCAAAGGACACATACAGTCAGACTACTCACAAAGTGTGATGTGGCCATTGGCTTTTGACCACTTTTCACCTTACTCAAACCCCATATTCCAAAATATTGTCCAAATCAAGAGATCTATGCTTGGTTTCTAGAATGCATTCACTAAATCACTCATTCATTCTTTAATTTATCAAAGTAAGGCCAGGTGCAGCAGCTCATGCCTATAATTCTAGCACTCTGAGAGGCCAAGATGGATGGATGGCCTGAGCTCAGGCTTTCAAAACCAGACTGAGCAAGAGTGAGCCCTCGTCTTTAAAAAAATAGCCAGGCATTGTGGTGCGCGACTCTACTGAAGGTGACAAAGTGAGACTCTGTCTCAAAAAAAAAATTATCAATGTAATTCATATTTATTGTACATCATCTCTACGTCAGTGATAAGGGAAACACTGGTCCCGACTTCACGCAGCTTCCAGTCCCAGATGACATTTTTTAAAAAGCAAATCAGGGCAATGTATCTCAGATTCCATGTAGACAAACTAGGTTTAGTTTTTAAGCATGAATATCCTTCTCTTATGAATAATAAAAATGGATCATTCTCTTCTGTAGTTTATTTTTATGAATTAAAGTGGCCTCAAGCAACTCAACATACAGCAGACTAACATGGAAGGCAAAGTTCCGTGTCTAAAAGGCCGATATTAAACAATACAGACCATTAGCTACTTGGAATATTGTTCACTTCTTCAGACCTGGCTAGCTTGGCAGGATGCAGTCATTCTACACATAGACAGCAGAATGAACTTGTCTTAGACACCTCTACATTTCTCAACTCAACTTAGTGACTGACTCATGGCAAGTACCTAGTACAGTAAATACATTTGCTGATCCGAACTCAGAGTTAGACCTCTCTCTACTAGGATGACAGGAACTGCATGGAAATTTTTTTAAGTCAGGTGGGTAGCTGATAATACCTGGTCTTCACTTATACTTTCTCTGCCATATGTTAGAGTTACCCAGCCAACATGCCAAGGCACACTCACACGTTTGCTGCAGTGTGTTACGAATGTGCAGAGATACTAGCCCCTTCAGCTCCTAGGCAGCATGTGGTCTCATCTCACCAGGCCACACAAACTCTACTGCTATCTGTATGTGGCACAAGATAAAAAAGACCTGGTAGCTTTGCTCTCTACCATGTAACTTTAAGGTCTCAATTTCATATTCATACAAACCTGAACCAAGAGAATTTCCTGGGGAATAGTGCTCTTTCAGCCCACTTCTGTGTAGCTTTCTAATGGGATGAAAAGATAAACCACGCTTTTATTTGTTTATTGGTATTATACTCAACCACACTCCACAAATCCTTTGTGGAATGAGATAGGATATACATAAACAAGTCTCTGGTTTTTAATTTTCCTAACACTGGGCAGACCATTTTTACCAGCAGCACAGAACCACAGCGGCCACGTGCTTGAGACTCTTCAAAGCCCCCCTTATGAGCAAAGGGCTATTCAACTCTTATCAAAGGACGGTGAGAGGAGTGTCATTTGAGAAATATTGACTGAGACACCCTTTCATCTCAGTTCCCAAAGTTCTGTTCTTCCTCTGAATTATATTAAGGAGTAATGCACCTGCCTGAGACTTCAGCTGCCCACAGAAATATCAGCACTGAACCAGGTTCCAAGACCATCTTCTTAGCTTTTATGAGGAGGTGATGGGTTTTTTTTTAAGGCAAGTAAAAAGTGTGTCTGAACCTTCTGATGATACCCTAATTAGATTGTAAGGTGCTTGAAAGCAGGGACTATTGTACCTTTTGTGTAGAGCTAGCACCAAAGGCAGTGGGTGCTGTGTGCATGAAAATCATTATATACCTATATGTTGAGTAGAAGAAACAAAGTATTCAAGCAAACTATAACAATGTGTAGTGAGACTTTTTTTTTTAAGAAAGGAAACTCAAATCTGTGTAGTTAAAGTTGGGTTTTTGGTGGGAAATAACTTCAAAACTACTGCAAATACGTAGTCTGAACAGGCTTCATCACCAGGTTATTTTAAACCACTGTATAATTTAGAAACATCTAAAAATTGTTTTAATGAAGAGATGGCCTTTTAAAAACCTGGTCCTGAGGGTTACCGAGATCAGTATGGGCAAATTCATTTAGATGAGGGGCTCAAAGTATTCCTTCTGTAAAAGCCACAACAAAAGGTAAAATCCTCTGGACATCTGTGAACTAAACCAAGTTCAGGGCGGTGATAGTGCCAACTTCTGAGCCTCTGGCTGCCTTCCTGACAGTCCAGGAAGAGTATCTCCTGTCAGTTCCTGAAAGGGACTTCAGCTGCCAAATCAGGAAGGGAAAAGGAAGTAGAGAAGGCGCTGGGAAAACTGGCACGAGAACACAGACAGCTTCAAGGCATTCAGAGTTACAGTTGAAAAAAAAAATCATTTAAAGGTGACTGCCAAGATTACAGTGGATTTAAATCAGTGTAAGAAATCTTTCATGATTAAGACCACTTTAAAATCCTAGACCCAAAACCGTTCTAGAGAAATAAACACCGACACTAGTACCTACTTACTGCCAGAAAATGCATCTCCCATGGGACAAGAAATGACAACTTCAACAGTCTTTGTTGCTAAATACAGTACCGTCCTGTTACAATAGTTGGTTTTTATAGACTCAGGGAGGGAGTGTTGAAGGTCAATCAGCGCCCCTGGGAAGGTAACACTGTCGCTACTTAAACAGACCCGGGAAAGTAGACCGATGACCACCATCCTGTCCCACGACCCTAGTGTCCCTTACGGGGCTGAGACCCGTGGGTGCTGAGGCAGTTCAGAAAGCAGCGCCGACTCCCAGAGTCGAATCTTTGGGGTTAATTCCAACTCTCTTCTACCCATTACTTTTCTTTGCAGTAGAGTGCCAGGGACCTGTACCCACAGCAGAAACTTGGATTCGGGGACGGAATCCCAGGGAAGAGAAGCGAGGAGAAGAGTCCACTCCGTGAGGACACTCTCGCCCCTCCATAGTCCCCACTGTTCCTGGACCCGCCCAGCTGCCCCGCTGCAGAGCCCCTAGCTCGCTGGAGCACTAGGACGCGGCTCCGGGAGGGGGCAGGTGCCCGCCCCACGCTGCCACCGGGGAGCCCCGCCCCGCAGGCCCGGCCCGCGCCGCGGTAACCCGGAAGTGGCGGCGGC